CACCGTGTCACAAAGAAGCAGCTTCAGCCTATCCGCTTACCCTGGAAGCCTAAAGATTACTTTGGTAAAGACTTGATTAAAGGGAGAGAAGCATGAGTCAGAGACACAACTATGAAAAGTCTATAGCTGAAGCTGGGTGTGGTAGCTCATGCCTATAATCCCAACACTTAGGAGGCTGAAGGACGATTGCCCCAACTTTAAGACCTACAGTCTGTGTTTCAGGTGTCTTTAAAAAACCAAAAAAGTCGGTAGGGCATGGTAGTGCTAATCCAAGTGCTCAGGAAGCAGAGGCAGATGGATCTCTGTGAATTCGAGGCCAGCCAGGGCTACACAGAGAGTTCCAGTACAGCCATGGCTGCTATACAGAGAAATCCGGTCTTGAAAAACCAAATTGAAAAACAAAACAAAAAAGTCTATAGCTGAATTACAGGAATGAGTAGTAGAGGTGAGAGAAATGGAAAGATTTGAAATATAATAGAAAGTAGAATTTAGTTGATCTGGGGGCTAGGAATTAGGAGCATAGTTGCCATCCCAGTTTGATGTGTTCCTACCTTGTTGATCAGGTCTCTAAAACTAGGTTTTAAAATATCCTGATCTTAACAGATGGTAGTAATCTCCATTTCCATTGTAGCTGAGCCTTTCATTGTGGTACATCTTCATTTAGCTTGCCACCACTGAAAATGGATTCTACAGTGATAGTTGGCAACTATAAGCAAAAGGAAGAAGAAAAACCTTAAAGATACTTACTAGTGTGCTGAATGACCTGATTGCTTGGGAATTTTTTACGGTTGGAAGTTTTTAATTTGAGCCTAAGGAATGATGTATTTTTGAGAATCTAGGCCAAGACAGGTATAGAATCACAAATGAACATGCACAGTCAGGTACTGCTAAGAAAAATGAAATAATGATATAAATTGTTGTAATAAGTAGTCTTATGTCTTCACGTATTTAGTGTCGGATTCAAATACAGATAATGCTAACATAAAAATGATGCAAACAGAAGTATCCTGTAGTAGCAGCAAGCACACGTGGCTAAACAGAAGAGTGATTTTCACTTGCAGACACCTCTCAGTTGTGCTTATTATGTATGTGAGCTTTCTAAAGACTTTTCTTTTCTTTTTTTTCTTTTTTCTTTTCTTTTTTTTTTTTCCCCGAGACAGGGTTTCTCTGTGGCTTTGGAGCCTGTCCTGGAACTAGCTCTGTAGACCAGGCTGGTCTCAAACTCACAGAGATTCGAGTGCTGGGATTAAAGGCGTGCACCACCATCGCCTGGCCCTCTAAAGACATTTCTAAAGCTAGTCTTAGTCTTCTGTATCAGGCCATTAATAATTCAGAGTTATAATGAACAAAATTGAGTGACTTATAATTCAATCTTCTCTCCATAGTTTTCTGGGGTACCGATATCTGCAAAAGAGTGTTTATGGAAGGATGTAGTTATTGTTTCTATTATGTAAATAGTTCCACACTCATTAGTTTAGGAAGTTTCCTGGTGAGTCACATTGGTATGAATCAGTATGATTCATTTATTATGATCTTCTGTTTTAATAACATTTTACCTATCCAAAGATTTGAATACTCAGAGAAATTTGCTACAATTGCTGTCTCTTTTAGTGAAAGTTAAATTGAAAATATGCCTTATTTTGATGGAAAGAATAAAAACTGCTTGTGGTGAATCATACTTGTGGTCCATGAGAAACCCATTTTACTGTGGTATCATCTTTTAAAATGACAACTATCAATTATTCTCTAGTTTCCAGAGTATGTAGTGATTTAAGTGTTTACTAGCATTGGTTGAGTAAACTCTGAAAAATATTCTTTTAACTGTATCTCACATATTAGCATGGTTTTTATTGAATATTCTTAGAGAATGCTGACATGTGTTTTAGTATTTTTGATATAGTTAATGGATAGCTGGCTATCTGATTCATTAATATTGTAAGCCTGTGGTGTACACTTGGTAGCCATGCCTTTGAGAAATAAAATAGAAACCAGAAAGGGAGCAGTATAACTATTTTTTATGAATTTTTATGTGGAAAGTATTAATTTTGCTTTTGAAAATCATTGCCCATGAGCCAGACATAGTAATGCTAGCAGTAGGGAGGCAGAGACAGACTGGACGGTACAGCAGACTCCTCTCAACCCTCTTCCCATAGATCTTTGGTGACAGAGGTGCTGCTTTGTCTGAGGCCTCCTCTGTCTTATCTGACTATGAGAATGGCTTTTGGAATTGCTAGTGGGCTTTCTTCTCCTGTCCTCTGAAACTTTGCAGTGGAACTGTAGTCAATTGCTTAAAATACTAACTACTATGTGGTTGGTTTCCTTTCTCCCTCAAAGTTGGAATGTCAGAGCAGAATGTCTTAAAATGTCTTTAAGCATTATAACAGTAAATTCTAAGATACCTGATTATATTCTGAAATGCCAAACTTAAGATCATCTGTCATTTTTATAAACTTCCCTGAAAACAAGTCAGCCTGAAAAACTGATACTTCAACCTTCTAGTTTAGTCATAATTCTCGAAATGTCAGCTAAATAGACCAATTTTTTAGAATTTGATATGAATTTTTTAAAAATGTATTTGCTTAGTTGACTGATTTGGGCTTCCCTGTAGCATTGTACCTTTATTTTTCCTTTGTAACGTACCTCTTCAAACGCCGGCTGCTAGTGCTGATGGCCACCACTGCTTGATCTCTAGCTATATATACTGGCCATTCCAGCCCGACAGTTAAGTAGACACCATTTTCCATTTTATAGTTGAGGACCCCAAGATTTAGCAAGATCAAGGTATCTTTCTCATGCTTGCTTAGCTGCTAGTGGTACAGCTAGTTTTGGATATGAATCCATCTTAATATAGACTCTAGATAAGTCTGTATAGAGAGAAGAGTGATCAAGTGATGCCAACAAACACAGAAATTGTGTAGGAAAATGAGGAATGAGCAAAGCTTACAGAATACATTTTTCAGACTTAACTAGCTGTTTTCAAGGGAATTCTCAGTTTGAAAGCAAAGACAGAGTCGACCGGACGATGATCAGGCGAAAGTGAATGGGTAAACTGTAGGGATAAGGGAAGCGTGAGGTGTGGCCAGCTTTTCCAATTTAACATTAAGAGGAAAGAAAAGAATAGGGTAATTAAATGAGCGTGTAGGGTTATGGATAATTTAGGAATTTTGTTATTACAATCTTAAAAGTCTTAGAATATTATTCATGATGGTTATATTCATGTATTCCGACAAATAAGTAGAGTGTTCTGTGTCATGTTATTAGAGAGCAAGATGAGATTACTGCTCTCATGAAACATCGGTTTTTTTCTTTGTTTGCTTTTGTTTTTTTTTTATTGCGAAAAGAAGAAAAAAAACATAAACAAAAAACAAGTTTCCACCTCCTATCAGCCTCCCATTTCCCTTCCCCTCCTCCCACCCTTCTCCCCCTCCTCCCACCCTTCTCCCCCTCCTCCCACCCTTCTCCCCCTCCCCCCACTCCTCTCCCCCTCCCTCTCCAGTCCACAGAGCAGTCCGGGTTCCCTGCCCTGTGTTAAGTCCTAGGTCCTCTCCGTCCATATCTAGGAAGGTGAACATCCAAACTGGCTAGGCTCCCACAAAGCCAGCACATTAAGTAGGATCAAAACCCCCTGCCATTGTCCTTGGTGTCTCATCAGCCCTCATTGTTCGCCATGTTCAGAGAGTTGTTTTTGTTTTTTAAGACAAGGTTTCAGCTTTGGAGCATGTCTGGAACTAGCTTGTGTAGACCAGGCTGGCCTCATACTCAAAGAGATCCGCCTACCTCTGCCTGCCAAATGCTGGGATTAAAGGTGTGCGCCACCACTGCCCAGCATGAAACAGTTTTAATAGAGGCAGATTATTAACAACAAAATAGATAAATCAGGAAATAACATCAAGACAAAACCAAAAACATATGAAGAAGCCCAGTGTGGTATGTGGCTTTAATTCTAGCACCTAGAAAGCAGAGGCATACAGGTCTCTGTAAGTTCAGGTTCCAAGATAGCCAGGGCTACATAGAGATACCATATGTTGAACATAAAAACAATTGAATGAAAATCAACACAAAAGCTTATACAAAGCGTCAAAAACAAAATGCAGCATTAAAGACTCTTTCTTCATGGAAATTTTAGGCATATGCTAGCCCTAGGTGTCTGGCTAGAGTTAGAACTCTAGCCAGTGACAGTGGACAGTGCTAAGGCCTGACTTGTGTGGTAGGTAGAAGCAGCTGAGCTAACGAGGTATTAGTGAGTTAGGCAGACAGTATGGAACTGTAGCATGTGGGGTAAGGAATACAGCTTTTTATTATAAGTTAAATGAGAAGCCAAGGTTTGGGACTTTTCAGAAGGGAATTATCTCAGTGAGATTTTCTACCTCAAAAGGAGCACTCTGGTTGCTGTGTGGATAATGTATTTTACTTGTAATGCAAGTCAGAGCAGAAGACTAATTAATAGGCTTTTTGTTTGTTTGGGTTTTTTGTTTGTTTGTTTGTTTTTTTCCCTTAGGAGAAATCACATGGTTTTGGTACTGGAGTCCTAACTGGTAAAAGAGGTAGTGAGAACTCATTAGATAGGATATGTGTTTGGGGCAGTGTCCCAGAGGACCTGCTTACAGATCAGATGTGGGACTACACACTAAGCTGTATGGATGGATGGTACTGTTGTTTTTTTAAAATGGGCAGTGTGAGTTGGAGTCCCAGTGATAACAGATTACAGGAGGGGAAGTCAATCATCTGTAATGTAATGTGCCAAAGAAGATGGGCACACAAGAGGAACTGATGGAAACCTCAGTAGAGGAGGTAGTGTCTAGAGAGAAGCAGAAAGTAGAAGTTTTAAGATGGAAAGGAATTAAGTCAAAAGCACATGTTGGATGGCTTTGATCTACTAATTATTTTGTGTTTCTCATATTAACTTTCTAACTTAAATGCCTTAATCTTTACTTAGTATATAGGATTATGTGTATATGTTTGATATACATAAATATTCTTTCTCTCTCTTTATTAAACAGGTTGTAAGTTCTACAAATGGAGAGTTAAACACAGATGATCCCACAGCAGGACGATCAAATGCGCCCATCACAGCCCCTACAGAAGTAGAAGTGATGGATGAAACTAAGTATGTTTTGCTTATTTCATTATTTTTTTTTGGTTGGTAACTTTGCATTTATGAACTTTATAGTTACATACAATTATTCCACATATTTTTTTCTGTAGGGAATAGAGCATACAAAAAATGATATAATTGATTATCTTAATCACTGTTTAAAGTGCTACTACTTTAGTGAATACTTTCTTAGTACAAAAATTGTAATTTAGTAACTGTGCTCAAATTTTCTTTTAAACTTAATAGTACATTTTTGGCTTTTAATATTAGGAACATTGCATTATGTTACTGCTGTATTTATTACTTCTCTATAAGTGTAAGTACTTGGCACTATAGGATGATGCATTTTTAATGTTACTTTATGATTAATTTTTAAGATGTAAATTATAGTGATGCTGCTTGGAAAATTAAGCATGCAGAACAATGTGACCACTTAATTATGGGATATTTTTGATGATCTCTCTTCCTCTCTCCCTTTTCTTTTCTTTTTGTTTCTCTGTGTATAGCTGCCAGAAAGTATTGAATATGTGGTGAGTTCTCAAGTGTAGGCAGGCAGAAATAGCTCCATTGACTATAATTGCAAAATTTTAGCACCATTTAATATAAACAAACAAACAAATTCTTAGCTTGGAAATTATAATTGGTAAAACCGAAAATTAATTGATGACAATAACATTAGCTCTGAAAAGCAAGAAATAATTGTTGAGGAGCTGTTTTGCCTGCTGCAGCTTTCTTTTCTTTTTCTTTTTTCTTTTTTCTTTTTTTTTTTTTTTGCTTTAAGTTACATCGTTTGGGGCACTTTTTAACTGCATAAATGATATGCCAACTGCTTGTGCTTGCGCATTTGTTTTATAACATGGGAGTTTTTATGTGTTATTTTAAGTAGAAGGCTAAATTTTGAATTAAACTTTACATTTCCCTGTTTTCAATTTTTGAATACATATTTTCCCCCTACAGTATTACTAAAATCTTATTTCATTTCTAACTAGTAAACATCCTCTAATGGTTCTTAATGATATTCTTCCTGGGAGAAATGGTACTTGATTTTAGTTACCTTCTGGTATTTGCCTACAGTTGCAATTCTGTGTTTAAGTGCTTCTCTTATTTTCAAGACAAAATTCGAGTCAGCTTTGCAGTGAATAAAGCTGTAAATGTTCAGTTTTAAAGCCTCTCAGTCATTTTACTTGCATCCGTAAGAAACACTGATTTACTAGCTGAAAACTGAGAAAACTATATATTTTAGGTATGATGCTAAGGACAGTTATGACATAGGGTGGTTGTGTGGTACTTTTTAAGGCTTGTTTCTTTTTCATAAAATGCTGCTAATTCACCTCATAGGGAGTCGGAAAATAGTAGCTGTGGTGAGGCTCAGTTGTCTGTCACATACAGGGACTGTGTAGCTATTATCACACCTATTTATTTCCTCATCAGTCGCTGCTGGTGACCTTCTCATCTGTGCTCTTCATAGGCTGTTGCTTCTTCCATCTCTGTCCCACAGTCTTGGTTAAGCCTGGGTATCTGTGCTCACTTCCTTCCAGAGAGTTACTTTTGATCTAATCTATCCATTATCCATTTGTTCATTCAATGGTTACACTCCTGAGATTTCAGTTGCATTAGTAGATATTAGTACAAGGTAAAACTTGAAATTTGTAAAGAAGAGGATCACTTCCTGACTGAAATGTGACTTTCAAGAATGACATAATACATGGTTCACTTAGTTGTGATGCCTGTGCGCATGTGTGCAGATAGGCTGGCTTTTCTCTGCAGAGGGTATGTGTGTGCAGATAGATAGGCTGGCTTTTCTCTGCAGAGGGTATGTGTGTGTGCAGATAGATAGGCTGGCTTTTCTCTGCAGAGGGTATGTGTGTGTGCAGATAGATAGGCTGGCTTTTCTCTGCAGAGGGTATGTGTGTGTGCAGATAGGCTGGCTTTTCTCTGCAGAGGGTGTGTGTGTGTGCAGATAGGCTGGCTTTTCTCTGCAGAGGGTATGTGTGTGCAGATAGATAGGCTGGCTTTTCTCTGCAGAGGGTATGTGTGTGCAGATAGATAGGCTGGCTTTTCTCTGCAGAGGGTATGTGTGTGTGCAGATAGATAGGCTGGCTTTTCTCTGCAGAGGGTATGTGTGTGTGCAGATAGGCTGGCTTTTCTCTGCAGAGGGTATGTGTGTGTGCAGATAGGCTGGCTTTTCTCTGCAGAGGGTATGCATGTGTGCAGATAGGTTGGCTTTTCTCTGCAGAGGCATTGGAGGGTAAGGGTGAAGAAAGCAATGGGCTTGCTGTTCCTGAAGGGACTGTTCTCCATTCCTTGGAGGATTGTGTCCAGATTTCTTGATATGACATCAAAACCCTTCATAGCTTGCTTACTCTTACTATTTCCTGTTTCCCTCCAGCCTCAGTGTAATTCTGATGTTTTGTCTTTTACTATTGTTTCATTAATCTGCCAATTGTTTTTCTTTATACATCTCTCACATCATGATGTCTTTCTTAATGTATTGAAAATAAGACATTTTTTAACTTTAGATCCCCAGTGGTTAAAATAGAAAACCACAAAAAAATTATTAGTAAGTAATTCACTAAAGCAATTTACCATGCCCGTGAAATATATTATTATATAATACAAAGAAGTAAGGTTGAAAATTCTTCTAAGTGAAAGAGGCAGAATAATGCCATGAATTATATAGCTCCACTTACATAAACTGTGAAAAGGGCAGTGGTAAAAGTATGGCAAATTAAGTAGTGGTTGTCTTTGGCAGAGAAGAAAATGGGAGGGACTGATGATAGCAGGGTTCCTTGAAGGCATTGGTTCTCCTGTTGTGGTGACTCCCACCATAAAATTATTTTGTCACTACTTTATAAATGTAATTTTGCTACTGTTATGAATTGTAAATATCTGATATGCAGAATGAATGAGGCGGCTCTGAAGTTAGGTAGTTATGGTGTCTGTACAATTCTGTAAATAGACTATTTGTCTCTGCATTGTACACTGTATGAGGGCAAATTTTATGACACGTTATTTATATGTGTTATTTTTTTAAAAAAAATATGGAACGCTTCACGAATTTGCTTGTCATCCTTGTGCAGGGGCCATGCTAATCTTCTCTGTATCGTTCCAATTTTAGTATATGTGCTGCCGAAGCGAGCACTATATATGTTATTTAAAGTCATAAAGTTATATGTGACTTTATTCTAGTTGAGTTGCAGGAATCCTCAGAATTTCCTGTTCTTAAAGCTCTTCATTAAAATTCTCTTTAAACAAGCCAGGCAGTGGTGGTGCACGCCTTTAATCCCAGCACTCGGGAGGCAGAGGCAGGTGGATCTCTATGAGTTCGAGGCAGCCTGGTTGACAAAGAAAGTTGCAGGACAGCCAGAGCTGTTATACAGATAAACCCTGTCTCGAAAAACAAACAAACAAACAAACAATAAATAAGTAAATAGGAAATCCAAAGATAAGGAATTGCAGTATGGGTGTTAATTTTAAGGTAAAATATTTATTTCCCAGGAAAATACTAGTTATCATAAAAGGTATTTTTGCATATGCTCTTTAAGCCGGCGCTGGAGAGACGGGCTTCTGAAGTCCTGAGTGGGTGGTACAGGCTGGATGCAGGAATAGTCTCTACCAAAGGTGATGCTGATGAGTCATTGTAGAAGGCATAGGGAAGAACCTCAGATCCAGGCAGGAAATCATGCTTCAGTTTGATTGAGAGAAGTAATAGTGTGTAAGAAAGTGGCAGCTTTTCGCTCATTTGATGGGCAGTTTCTGTAAACTCGCTATTACTAGCTTCTTCCTGGTGTGAAAAGGTAGTAGTAAGTCAAAGAATCTTTTCAAAGGAGCAGTAAATGCAGACAAAGACTGTGCTGTGAGAACAGCCTCCTTTCAGATTGAGTGCCTGGAAGCAGAAAAGAAGTGAGAGGGTGATTTCTTTATCACCTAGACTGAATCGGCTTGGTTTCACGTGGCTTGTATCTTAAAAACCAGCAGGGGTTAACATTTTAACTTCCTCCTTTAATGCCGCTGCTTTGTGGGCCGATGCAGTCATAGAGATGTATCAATGCTGCCCTCTGGTGGTAATTGCTTTAATAGTATGCCATCCTAGTTAGTGGGATTTAGTCTAAAGTTATGTGGACATTGCTTTAATGTAGTTTTGAATTTAGAGAACCTATGCCATTGGAATTTTTCTTAAAATTGTATTTAGTTTCAAGTAAATGATTGGGCATACTTTCTTTATGCCATAATACTCGCATTAGAAAGAAAGGTTTTTTAACAAATGGAAAGAACTTTCATTACCTAAAGACAAAACCAGAGAAATAAGCGAAGCATCTGACTACAGTCCCAGTGTGGACGAGCTAGCAATTAACAGCCTAGTTATCAAAACTTGAATTGCATTACATTTCCCATCGTAAAAAGCTTCTGTGATATAAATACCTTTTTAGTAGAAAATTTTTGAAGGAATATACTTTGGGGCTTGAAATGTCAAATAAGAATATATAGAAACACTTAAATCAGGAAGGAACAGGGACTTCATATTAAACAGTACTGAATTTTCATTGAAATATTGCTTACATTGAATATTTTAAATATGTGGTCTATTTCTTTTATATTTTTGGTTGTGAGCCTATCCTTTAGTGGCCGAGCCATCTTTCCAGCCCTATTTCTTTTCTTTTAAATAACCCCCCCCCTTATTTTACCTTTTACTCTGTGGATGTTTCTTAGTAATTGAAAGATTTACTTGATAATATTTTACCCTGTCTATTTGAGACAGGGTCTCATGTATTCCACACTCAAACGCTGTGTGTCAGAGCTCCTCACCGTTCTATCTCTACCTCCCGCTCAATTTATGTGACACTAGTGACCCTAAATATTGAATCCAGGGCTCTGCCCACTGAGCAGGGTCCCTTTGTGTTTCTGTATTTGAAAATTTATGTATCTGAGATTTGAGAAAGTATTTTGTGCATATAGTTGAAAGTAAATGGGACTGGTTTTCTAATTCCTGAAACAATCTTTTATACTTAGTTTTTGTTTTATGGCAGTAGTTCTAATTTAGGCCCATGAATATTCCCCCCCCCTCTCTAGGCCCATGAATATTTCATCTCTCTCTCTCTCTCTCTCTCTCTCTCTCTCTCTCACACACACACACACACACACACACACATACACACACACACACACACACACATATACACACTCACACTCCCCTCCCCTGCTCATTTCAGCCTTTTCTGGGTGGTTACCGCAGTGAGGTAAAGTTTACATTGTACATGTTTTTACTTAGGGAAAAAAACAACGATTGAATATATAGTTTTTGAATTTTATATTTTAGAAAACATTTAAAACAAGTTTAGAATATATAGTTTTGAATTATAAAATGAATTCACCTTGGCTGTGCTATTTTACATGTTAAGTATAAAATTACTTTGATAAAAATTAAATACGTTAAAATAAGTTTTGACTCTTAAAGAGCCAAAAGGGTAAAAGCAGGTAGATAAAGAGTTTAGATTGTCAGCTATATTTGAGTTTGAGCCTGGGCCATTTGAGAGTCTGCCCTCCTGCCTTCCCAAAAGAAACCTTAAAACAAGTGCCAATCTTAATGTTGTACTTAATCTGTTTTCTCTTTCTCTTGATAAATATAGTGGGAAATATTGTTAATCAATTATTTTTTGTTTCGCTTTGCATTCTAAACTTATTTCTACTAAAAATGAAGTAGGGTCATTATTGCCTTTGTAACACTGGCTTCAGGAATCAAAACTACCAGAAAGAAAGGGAGCAGACTATGTAGATGAACCTTTATAACAGCATTGCACACCGAGATGATTGACTATCCTGAGTGAGATGGGACAGCAGATCAGTTGAGAGTCGGAGCACTGTAGTTCTTCACCTCTCAAAGCAAAGCCTTTTGGACTTACTGGCTCCTTCTTATGTTACACAGAATGTCCTGCTATCCCTGAAAGGCGTGCTGATAGGACATAGTCATAATAGCTGCCATCGGGTCACTAATACCAATGCTTCGCTGATGTGCTCACTGTCTATCCTGCACGAGCCTGTTGCTTTTTATGACCATTGAAATCACTATGATAAATTCAGTGTCTGATAACTTCAGTGTTTTTCTAATAAAGAAATGTTTTCTTCATCTGCAGGTGCTGTTGTTTTTTCAAACGAAGGAAAAGGAAAACCATACAACGTCACAAATGACTGGACACAGAGATCCTGGGGAGTTACTTACATGTTCATATGCTGTCTCGTGATTAAATCATCTCTGTAGTGACCACATATATTTTCAAGGACTCACTCTTGAAACAGAAATGTCATACTTTCACATTTCATTTTGTGGTTGTCTTACATTCATTTCTCCTCCTAATTTAACTTTATGGAAGCTTTAAGATTTTATCAGATATGAGAGCTTTGCCCATCATTGAATGGAGTGGACCAATGACGTGGTATTGATGAACACAGTTCCAGAGGACATTTTTCAGAACCTCTTCTGTTACAGAAAACAATACAGGTGTCTAAGTGTCAATTAATTGCACCTAATTTGATTTTTTATGTCTTATATGAAAGCATAATCAAACAGGAATTTTTTTCCCAATGGATAGTGCAGCAGACAAAACAGTTGCCCAAATATTAAAAACAGCTTTCATGAAAAGTTCCTATTTTGTGACATCTGCATTGATTTCAGTATGACTTATGGTACTGTTATTCATGACTCATATTGACATTCTCTCTGTGAAATCAAGGTACAGTCACTGCCCAGAGGTACTGAGGGAAAGCACTATGGGACTGTCAAGCGGTGGTGGTAAATACATCAGAAGAAATGGGGAAAAGCGCTCAGCTTCTGTTGTGCCATTGTGTACAGTACAGCTGCAGAAGTGGCAGGAGCACCGATTTGTATAATGTCATTCTATGCTTCCAAGTGATAATGTATGTTAGATAGAAAAAAAATGAATGCTGGAGAAGTAATGTATGTTGGAGTTGGAAAAATACACTAAGGAAAGGAAATAAATGTGAAATTTACTGCAGTGTGTAAGGCTGGAGCCCCTTGAAGCCTGCTGTTTGATGGCCGCATCTCCCAGAAGCAGAAGTCTGAGGATGTGCCATACAGTGGTGGCTGTTTGCCATGTAGTTCTTCAATTAAAGGAAAGAAACATACTCCCAGCAGAAACCACTGGGTCACTCTGCTGCCCTCTGTGCACAGTAGTCTCTTGTATTCAGCTTTGCTAGTTCTCTGGACTCTCCTGTCTTGAGCATCGTGTTGATGATGGGAGATTGTTTGGCGAGGGTGGGCCAGGTGCTTTGCCTCCATAGCTTTCACAGTGCTGCAGACGAACAAGGAACAGTTCTGTTAGTAGTAAGACCTTCCTTTGCAAGTGTGCTTTGTTTGAAGCCATAGAACACAGGCATGCTTCTGTTTCTCAAGAGTGAAAACAAAAGACTGACTAGGAAGATACTGTTGATCACATCACACATCCTCTTTCATTTATGACATTGTTGCTCTGTCCATGAAGTCTCTTCTCTGTTGTAAGTGTGAACCTTCAGGTATGCTTATTTATTTTTTGTCTCAAGGTAACATTTAAAATATATATTAAAGGAAATGAATCCACCTTTTTTTTTACTTCATTATTGAATTTGCAGGTATTTAATTGTATTTTGTAATTTATTTTTCTTATTAGCCAAAAGTTCAATGAGTTGCTTTTGATGAATTGGCACCCATATGAACATCGCGAATCAGGACATTGTTTATCATTGTTTTCTTCTAATCCAATGAGCAATCTTTTTTTCTTGATTTTGAGGACCTATATTCAACCTAGAAAACGTTTGCTGTATATTTGGTCAGCAGTTTCCATTCTATTGATATACTGTCATGATGTCCAAACTTCAGGAGTTAAATACTGAATTTTTGGTTTTGTTTGCTCTGAGCAAGGTAGATGGATGTTTTGGCCATTTATAATGTGAAACCACTTCTTTACAGTATTTGACCAAATTTGTGTGTCTATGATATTTGTAAATACATGCGATATCTGTATTTCTTATCATAAGCCTATTTAGTTTTATTCTCAGTAGGGTTTTTTGGACTGTACAGTGTTTATATGATCTGAACTCCTTATACATAAGAAGGTGTGTATATTAATCCAATTATGGACTTAAATATTTTAAAAGTATGAATACCCTTATTTGCTGCAAAGGCCAGTGTGTAGACATTTGCTTTTTAGCAATATTTTTAAGTGCTCCATTTTAGTGTCAGAGAATAAGTCTTTGGCACACAGACTGGTCAGTAATAGGTAATGCAGGTATGTTCAGGTTAAGCCAACGATGATTTGCATTTTTATGCTTCTTTTCTGTCAACACTAATGAAGTCAACATTGCCTGAATGTCTGAATACTGAAACACAGCCCTGTTTAAAAGTATGTAACTGAAAAAGAAATAAATAAAGGTAGTTTTTTTAAACTCGCTCTTTCCCCTTTCCTCTAACCATGAGTAAACTAACGCGATAACAGAAAATTAACTTCTGTTGATTTATTTTTGTAAGAGGCAGAAGGAACCTGCTTTTGTTATGTTGTTTCTGTTTTTTGTTTTTTGTTGGAACACAGTTGTAAGGAACACAAAACGAGAAGGATCTAAGCTTGCTTTGTTTGCAGTTTTTAATGTATATTTGTTTCTGAGTTACTTAGTAGAGCAATTAGTTAAAGCTGTCTTCTAATAACTTAAGGGAATAAATAATGATTTTATTCCTTTTTTAAAAATGAAGTCATGCTATTTATGGAAGTTTGCTGTTAATTAATTTTAAGTGAATAAAGTCATTGCAGATGGGGAGCATATATTTGCAACAGTAATTGGACTTCTCATTATGTTGGCCCTTGAAGCAGTTTTACCAAATGGTATTGCTGGAGTCTTGTTTACTGTAGGATGATGTAGGGAAGATAAACGCATGACTAATATGTGCATCGAACACCAGAGACTTTAAAAAAAAAACAAAACAATGAGAATAGAAGCCTGTGGATCAGGGAGATGATTCAGCAGGTAAAAGTGCTTCCTATATAAGCCTGAGAGCTTAAGTTCAAATCCTGAGAACCCCTATAAAAACTCAGTTTAATTAAGTTAAGCATGCACCTGTTACCCCAGCATCGTGTCCTGTAGTGATTGGAGGATCACTGAGGCTTGTTGGCTACCAGTCTAGCTCCAGGTTTAGTAGACACCTGCCTCAAATCAGTGTGGAAAGTGATGGATGGCACCCTCTGGGTTCTGTGTTTGTTTTAGTTAGGGTTTCTGTTGCTGTGGTGAAATACCATAACTAAAGCAACTTGGGGAGGAAAAGGTTTATTTGGCTTACACTTTCGCATCACTGTTTATCATGGAAGGAAGTCAGGGCAGTAATGCAAACAGGGCAGGAACTTAGAGGTGGAAACTGATGCAGAGGCCATGGAGCAGTGCTGCTTACTGGCTGCTTCTCATGGCTAGCTCAGTCTTAGAACCAAAGACCACCAGCCCAGGGGTGCCCCCACCCACAAAGGACTAGGCTCTTACCCCGTCAATCACTAATAAGACAATGCCTTCCAATTGGGTCTTATGGAAGCATTTCCTTAATTGAGGTTCCTTCCTTTCAGATGAATTTAGCTTGTGTCAAGTTGGCTTAAAACTATCTAGCACAGTATGTATGAGTGGGTGCCCCCACAACTCACCTATACATACAGCACACACAGCACATACATACACAGAAGCAGAGTGATCTGAGGAAGACACATGATCTTCAGCAGGCTTTATCTAGGAAGAGCAATGTGGGTTTAGAGTGGATTCTAGTCTCCATGACTATATTTGCATTAGTAAGACTCTTTCGCCTGCAAATGATAAGAACTCAACCTAACTTAAGCAATAAAATATTTAACTGTAAAGCTCAGTAAAACTGGCTCCTGAGAGTTAATCTTGCTGTTCAAATGGACACCGCCCTTCTCTTGTGCCATCTTACTGTCTTCACCTTCGGCTTGAGGGCAAGTGGCTGTTCAGCAGCATGAGACATTGATGCTGCTGTCTTGGTAACCAAATGAAGACAGAACAGTTCTGTTCTCAGCAGGTGCGACAGCTTTCCATGTTCACTAGAGTCAACACCTGTGGACACATAGCTGCTGTTCCCCTGATGGTTGGACCTGAGCCGCAGGTCCATGTTTAGAAAACACTTGAGAAGTGACACGGGAAAGGACAGTAAGATGTTTGACCATGGTTACATCAGATGCTTGGAAAACAGCAACAAAATATTCACTGTGTTTAAGTGAGTAAATGTAAAATGGGTATGAATGGATGCTCTAGGTACATTAGGAATGTGAAAGAGTAGGTTGAAAGTGAAATGCTCCTGGTTTAGACTGAGGTGTTCCCTGGAGGGAAAGGAAAGGTAATTAGTAGGTAGATTCATTAGTTAGATTACTGCTCATGGGAACGGAAGTGTGGAAATCAGAGATAATGAGCTCCAGGTATCTCACTTTTTAAAAGATGGTGACGTATTTTATTTAGACATGAACATGGAAGGGGAAAAGATGAGAAAGGCCCCAAATTTGGTGTGGGATATGGTAAATTTGAGGTGTATTTAGTATATTCAGTGAAATACATGATAAAAAGTACAGGATATGAGTCAAATATAGAAGAGATATAAATGTAAAAATTATCTGCTTAAGCATGGTTATTGAGGCCATGGTAGGGATTAGATCACCTGATTTAGAAGAAAGTAAGCCAGGTTCGGGTCTCCTATGAAACATGAACATCTTGATAAGTGATGTTCTATTCAACACATGCATTCTCTTCCTTTGTGTGACATCATTTTGGACAGGACTCGAGGCTTACAAATGTGTCTCTATTGTCATGTTTAGTTGAGATATTTGGAAATAGTTATTAATTTTGTAGGGGAGTAATAAGAGAACAGTGTAGTTTGGGAATGAGTTAATGATTGGCTGAACATAGATAATGTATGCAGATTTGCTAGTATTTAACCTTCTATTTGGCCTCCAATATCAAAAAAAAGCATTTGCTTTTTTTTTAAAATATTTATTTATTATGTATACAATGTTCTGTTTGTGTGTCTGCCTGCAGGCCAGAAGAGGGCACCAGATCTCATTTCAGATGGCTGTGAGCCACCATGTGGTTGCTGGGAATTGAACTCAGGACCTTTGGAAGAGCAGGCAATGCTCTTAACCGCTGAGCCATCTCTCCAGCCCCAGCATTTGCTTTTTTCATTGTTCTGTTTTTGTTTTTAGCTGGATGGTCATGGTATACCAATAGGTATCAAAGATACTAACTTTTGAACTTGTAATATTTATTTAATACTATTGTGGATTAAAATTCTTCATTGAATTCTTTACTATTTTGCTTCAAATTTTGTACCTTTTCCTATTTTATTGCAAACTTTGTAGTGCCTGTATACACTGTATACCACTGGCATAGCACATTTCCTAGCCTGCTCGCCATTGATCCTGCACTGTGACCTGTATTATCTCATTGGTGTAAGGAAACTAATGTGTGAAGCCTGGAGGGAAAAGATAGGGGAAGTTAATAACTATGAAGCAGTGAAATACCGGTGCCCTCTCTCCATCTGAGAAAAACAATAGAGCACAAAGGCACAAACTCAGGTTTTAATCTTAGCATTATCGGTTTTCAGGGTTTTATAAACACATCTTCAGATGTTGCTAACATAGTGCATGGTTGTATTTGAAGACTGGTTTCAGGTAAAAAGGGAGTCTCAAGTCTCTTAGCTGGTATGTTCCCAGTTAGCCTTTCAGGACTGTGCTGATGGGTTGGTTAGAAGAGTTCAAAGCTTATTTTTCCAGGTACAAATGAGTATAACATGACTATAGAGCTTAGTTAATGTTGAAAATAGATGACTAGTTTGTCTCTGCCTAGCTTTTACCAGAGCCACAAGTTAATAAATTATCTTCTTTGTGAGAATGTATAGATCATAACCAAAGAAAAGGACTGTAAACATATTATTAGGCAATATTGCTGGGATGTGAAATTTTTTTTTTCTTTTAAGCCATGTTCTCAGTTTATAGCCTAAGCTGGCCTTGAACTCATGATCTTCTTGCCTCTGCCTCCTGAGTGCTGGGCTTGTTACCATTGCCAAGCATAAAATAGTTTTGTTAGAACAGTTGTTCAGAGGGTATTGGTTAGGTTGTAGTTTCTCTTAATTGGAAATCATTCTACACCTATTGCCTAGGATGGATTGGCAAACTTTTAGGGGAGGATAAAGTTTAGACTTTATAGGCTAAGAGGCAAATTCATGGCTTTTACTTACTTATTCAATTAATATATATATATATATATACATGTTTTATTGGTGAAATTCAAAGTATGTTAATACTTGAATTCAGTTTTGTTTGTAATACAGGTCTGCAAATGATAAGCACTTGTTTATTATTGAGGAGTTGCTATTTCACTTAGCTGGAGTTTAAATTTGATCATGACAATGAATCACTTTCTAACACAGCTGTCAGATATGCTCCCCTTGATTGTACTGTGATGTTGGTTAGGTATGGAATGTGCCCTGTACTTATGTTGGAATTCAGACACATAACTGGTTGAGTTCGGAAACTGCAAGCACTGCCATCAAACAGCTGTTTAGGA